AAATGCTTTTCTTCACTACGCCCATCATTTTGTTGTTGAAAATAGCTATTGAAGCGTTTTTTTTTGTGGCAAAAAAGTTATTCTTGAAGAAAGATAAGGAAATATCTCGTACTTATTTTAAATAGGAATTTAGTACATAGTTTGCGATTGATTTGACCAAACTTTGTTGCTAAAATAACTTGTAACATAAATTAACCATGATATAGTATATCAGCTCATGTATTTTACATCATTATAAAGGGAATTGAAAGACCTTTAAAATAAGATATCACTCGACCCCCGCCCCCTTCCATTTAAGATTTTAGGGTTGGTGTCACCCCCGCCCAGGGGGCTGCACGTGTTAACGTGATTTTTTGCCAAACATGTGTCCCCTTCGAAAACAAAAACGACGGGTCTGAGCGTTTTTCCAAAAAAAAAACTGAGCTGCCAGTAAATGCGTCTGTTTCGTTTTCGATGCGACCCCTGTATGTAAAACGCATATAATTATTTCTAGTGTATCATATGATCTATTCGTATTTATCTAAATCGAAAGGTTCTGATTAAATTTTTGATAGACTTTCGATTATTTTTTCTGTACCCTTTGAATCGTGAAATTCATTTTAACATCCAATGTTTGCCTTTCTATATCAAAACTTGGTAATTTCGACAGAGATATTCGTCAGTTGAAGAGTAACTTGCATCACCAAGCTTATTCCTGGGTGTAAAAGCTTTCTCAAATTGAAAATTTATTATTTCTTGGAGATCAATAATGATGTTTTCTTCCATCTAGCCAATATTTTTTCATGTATTATTTTATGTTTCATGATATTATTGCTTCTACGAGATGAAAGTGAAAAATATCTCATTATGCCTTCGCGCATTATTTCCTATAAATATTTTTGGCAAATTCTACTAGTCGCTTGACATGTTTGTTCATATCCCTAATATTCAAAGCCAAATGTCTACTCAGTCCAACATTATCATCATTTTCACACATCTTTTCCACCAATTCATACAGTTATTGAACATTGACGAGCTTCCTTGATACCTCTGGCAAACATTCTAACCCAGCCCAGCTACTTTTTTGTGGTATTATAATGATCCCAAAGATTATTTTTCGCATCTCCTGCGAGTCTCCTGTAATTAAAACTAGTTCAACAGAAGCCGACGAATACTAACCTTTTCTGTAGCGTGTATAATACCAATTTCGTGTTGACAATCCAGCTTAGATGATGACTAAAAACGACGTGTGTTCGGCGCCAAATTTGATCAACCTCACAAAAAACTGCCACTGCATAGCTGATAGTAGTGCAAATTAAATGTTCCATATCACAGATAGCGGACCTCGTTTACGATAAGGAACCTAAGTTTGATAAGCACTCTAAATAGGTACGAAGTTTGAAAACTGCATATTTTTCTAAAGCTTACTTTCAAACCCTTAGATTCAGATTCATTTATTGATCCAGTTAGATCTACATGGTAGACATTGGATAAGTCTGTATATAAAATAAAGTACAATGCAAACAACAATAATTAAAATTGAAATAATTTTGGATGTTGCATTTTATGTCACTTAGGGCCGATTTCACCAACATTAATATCATGGACCAATGAGAAAATACCTTATCGAAATGCAATTTGACAGAAGCTGTCAAAGGTCTCTGAATATTAGTGATTTCTATTGAAATATTGAATAAAATCGTGAAAATTCGACTGTATTATAAACAAGACCACTTTTTGATTCCAACACGTTGCTTTTGTACAGAAAAAACAGGACAACATTCATGTATTTTGA